GCGCTGACAGGGCGTTGCCGCTAGCAGACACGATGAGCGCGAGCGCGAGGAGAGAAAAGATCCTGACCATTGTGGCAGAGGGAGTGTCAGTAGGTGAACAGGAGCTTTAGCAGGACGGAGGCGCTTGCGAATCAAATTCGAAAGTGAGGAAGACGTTGTATTTCAAAACCGCAGGCGAAAAAGGTCAGACGGACGGCGTCGCCAAGCACATTACCTCTACAGACGAGAGTGCTGCCTCGAGCGTATGGCTCTGTTTACCATAGTCAAGTCCCCACGGCCTGTGCACAGCTGTAGCCAGCACGCACAGAACTGAATGGGAACCAGATGGTATATTGCGTTTTCTTATCGCGTCACGACGTGTCCGAATATTAGAGCTCAGAGTGTTGTAATGAGCTTTTTGCCGCAAAGCCTGACAGCTGATCGATCCCCTTACACAACAATTCATTTCGAAAGACTCAACATCGGATTGCTTCGTTGCCCGTCTGCTTGAATGATGCAGTTGTTGGTGCAGCACAAGCTGCTGAAGGCAATGTGGACAAGATTTTTGTCACTTTCGTTCTATCGTAATAGGTTCTTAGTGCAGGACGCAACATTTCGAGTTCTGATTCCGACTTTTTCCGTGCGTAAGGCCACAGATGGGTCACACACACGCACATGATTGGGCAATCAACAATTGAGGTGTTCGCGGGCGTACAGGTTGAGGAGGTCAATGCTGACTATTGTCGTCGCAGCCGGACATGAAATATCATATGAATAGGCCTAGGACGTCTTCATTGACTTAGTGCTGTGAAAGGCACCCCTGAACGAGAACGAACATTGATTTGCGATCTAGAAGGCGGAGGTTCGGGCCTGTGTGCGCACATTAATAGCCAAACTATTCTGCAATTACTTTGTATGTGGGTATGCTGCCTTTCACTTTGTTCGTATCTATGTGCATCTGTAGGACATGCGTGACGCTTCGTTGGTCTAACCCTTCAAGGATCTAGAAAGTAGGACGTAAACGGTTACCGTTCGCGCTCGGCGACAGAAGGGTCTCCTTTCATCCTATACTTTACTACATCATTTCTTTTTCGTATCACAGCGACATCACGAACGAGTTGTTCGATCGCAGGACAACCACGGCAACAATACGGTTGTCACGGAAGAGACATAACAGCGCCGACGGAAGAAAACCTGGCGCCAAGTAAAGTTCCCCTGCACCTGCACATTTTCTGTCCATTTTGGAACGGCATTTCGTCCGTGTCATCATCGCCTGGTGCATAAATTAAAATTGCTGTCTCTACCATAGATTATGCCACTGCTCATTCGCCACGCAGGTTTTGCGGCCTGTCGCAGGGTTGGGCGAATGGCTCCGACTGAATATCTAATTTCGAGCTATCTGGCCGCAGCTCGTGGCAGCATGCAGAGATCTACATGGACATTGTATGATGCAACAGAAGGATGTGTGTACGAGTGTCTATGACCGCGCAGGTACCGACTATTGTCGATTTGTTCATTGTTGCGAGACTCACAACGAAGCACTTCACAACTGACTTGACGCAGCGGTTAACACGGGCACGGTCCTGGCAAAATACCGCTGTCTTCAGCGAACTGGTGCAGCGAATGTGGCGATTAAACAACAGGCTTCACAGAGAGGTCAAACGTGCAAACCCGATGCACGTGGTTACCATCATGATCCAGTTCTTTTCATCGATGTCACGTTGTCATGTACCTCGACAAGCCTTTTGTGCTGCCTCGTCATCGAGCGAACAAGTCTGTAATCTGTCTTTTATAGGTGGACAAAGCAGCACAACCAGAACTGTGAATCGTTAGAGTTTCACACGCGGTAGATTAACGATTACGCCAAAAGAACCGTAATTCTGCAGACAAGACATCAACATTTTCAAGAGCCTCTACTTACCATTTCTCGAGCATTCACGCGACGCTAACTGAAAATCCGGGGTTCGAGTGCTTCGATGTTGGCACATATCGATGCGACTACAAACGATCCTCCCTAGCGATCGGTACAATGGTGGGATACGGTGCAACATGCACAGATGGGTACCGACAACAGTGCGTAGTAAGCTCTCACTGGCTGCAGTGAGAACTAGTGCCCTGATAGATGGCGTGCACCGGACGCTTTAAAGGAAGGCTTAGTACTTAACGACTAGGCTTTGTAAAAGAAAAAGGAACTGTATTATATACATATATATATACATTTAAGTCTTAAATGTGTCTTGTCATGTTAGTCCAAACTTAACTGTAAAAAATGCAAAACGTGTATGGTGGTGACGTCTACTTATTGCTCATTGCGCGCGTCTAGCAGCGATTGATGGGTTGACATAGTGGATATACCGACAGTGGACCCTTGGGTCACTGCAACAACATCACTGAGCTCAGTGATATCGTTATAAGAATATTAGACTTACTATTCTCTATTATCATGATTGTTGTAAATGATGTATTCTGTAACAGGGGTCGACCCGTTACATACCGTATCTCAGTGTGGGAGAATGGTACAGCACTTATGTCGTTTACCATCTGGTGTGTTAATGAAGACCAGTGGTCGTCCATTTATTTTCCTGTCAAATAAGTAATCCTCCGTCGCGTTGTCACCTTCGGAAGTGGAATACACGGTCCTAACACTTGCTACTCAACACTTATTCTGGCTGCGACAGCTTTTGGCGAGATCTAAAGCGGCTACCACCGCTCTCATTCATCTACGTGTAAAACAATGCTGCAATTGAAATGCTACGAATGAAGGCGGTTTGTCAAAATAACGTATTTATCGTCGGCTTTACTGAAAATCGGGACCACGTAACTTCGTGGAGATACCGTTGTTCAACACGTTCCAACAAAATTCAAAAAGCTTACCTCCTAGTTGGCGTGCCCACGCTACAGTTTGTTACATTCCTTGAATAAGCGGCCATGCTGCTTCAAAGGGAATGCTGGCAACTGCATTTAAGAAAAGAGTTGATCGGTTGCGTCACCCGAAGTTTGGACATATTACAGTCGAATGATTGATAACCTGCAGCGTTCTACGGTATTGAAGGCTACAGCAAGATCCGATGCTTAAGCGTGTGTGGTATTGTGCATGATCTTATTCGTGCATAAGTGGATACAAATAGGTACAGCTAGACGTATCGCAAGGTATAAGCGATCACACAAGGAAGAAGACGAGAATACGAAATTAGCATGTTGTATATTTCACGTACTTTCCGGTTTCCTTCTACTAGACGAGCTGTTGATGAAGACCGTCAAGCTTTGACACTCGCAAATTCAAACATACATATGAATTTATGGTCTTCGGAAAAGCGGCAAGTTCTATGGCTCGAACAGAGGCCCATAACTGATGCTGGTGCTTTTATGGTGCAAGCAGCTGATTTAGACCCAGCGAATGAACCACAGCAAGAGTGGAGAGGTATAGAGAAGCTATACTGCATGATCCTGCTATCTAGCCTACGAATCGAAGGACATTTAACACGTGCTTGTTAAGATCCAACGCTGTCATTTGATGGGTGGTCGCGTCGTCGGTGTGGATGCCGGTGTGCCAAAGCTGGAAAGCGCTCGTCCTTTACCTCACGCCTCGTCTTCTCTTCTCTTTTGTTGAGGATTCTAAGTGCCTGGGAGAGGTTGTAGTCCTATATTTATGTAGTTCGGAGGCCTTGCACTACGACGATCACCTTTGCTTAATACGCTACTTCAGCGTCATAGCTCATCAATAGCCTTTCTTCAGCAAGCAGGCGCTATTTTGATGCAATTATCCGCAATGCATGCTCTGCTTTCGTCCTGCAACATTGCTATATATTTGCGTGCCTCAAGAAGTCCGGATCCGCTATATCCCGCGAATGGGCATTGTGCATCGCAGAAATGTGATGAATATCATATCTGGCTTTTGGAACGAGAATGACGGACCGCAATCGATAATTCTATGACGACGCCACGGAAGCGGATCGGAATGACGAGGTACCGATCATGTTAAGTCGATCTCGCATGCAAGGCAGCGTAACCATACATCTGCAGGCTACTATAGAGTGCGCGAGTAGTGTTGAATCCGTTGGTCAGCTTGCGACTTGGACAACTAGATGTCAAATTGTTGCGTATAGCGGACTAGTCCATCAGTTCGAGTCGATAGTAGATGCTATGATGAAGAAAAACACCGTGCCACGAAAGCGGAGATAGCGCAGGATTAAATTCGCTGTTTAAACGCTTGCAGAAAAATCAGCAATACGCTTCGCTGCTTTCGTACGGTAAGAACAACGGAGCACTTCAGTTGTTGCGGATATCTCATTCACGTACTGACCTTATCTTCGGTTGCTTGACGACATCGCGTAAGAACCGCTTTTGCGAGGCAATCGCGCTTGTTGTTCCAGTATTTGCCGGACCCACTCCGATGCTCCGCTTTGCATCTCAAACACAACAGAGGAGTGCACAAACAAACTCTGACGGTAGAAGCAGACGTTTTAATATGATACTCGTGTCGGCCGTTCAACTTTTGCGCGCGGTATACCCACGTGGACAGATGCCGTGGAAGTCACTCGATCGTAACCTCAACTTGGTGTAAAAAGCGGCTGATCACAAAATTATCGCTATCAGATAAATAACACGTTACCGCAACAATGCGGTGCCGCTACAACGTCATACGACGCGACTGACTTTAATAACAGCGGACTAAAACAAGATGTGGGAATAGTACTTGTCAATACGTTGCGCTATGATCGACTGAAACATTACGCGCATCAATGAAAATGGAGAAGTTGCTCGCATACGCTTCTTTGTTACACGTCGAATGAACTACAAGACTTTTGTTATCAAGGCAATGACCTAGTCGTGACCACTTTCGTACAAATCTACTACCATTGCCACCTGCTGCGTCGCGTCAGATACACTTTGCTATCGCCTGACTTAGCGACGCTGTATATCCGTCTTTTGCGGAATACGCGCTCTTGCCTCATACTCTCGCACCTCTATCCGAGCAACACTTACTTCTTGATAGCTACTATTAGGCAACAACGACACACTTACGCTCTCAAGTCAATGACCATGACGCAGATGTTGTCCATGCTGCCTCGTGCATACGCCTCCTCCATGAGATGCTGCGCTGCTGTCTGCGGATCTTCATATTTGAGCACCAGCTGCGCTACGTCTTCATTGGAGACCGTATCCCAAACACCGTCGCTTGCCAAAACTAAATACTGGTCCTCCTCCGTCCGCGTGAGCTGCTTCACTTCAGGTTCTGCGACCACGAGCGGCTTGAGCATGCGGTCTCCGATCGCTCGAGACACAGCCAAAATGCCTTCGACGCGCCATACGCCCCAGAACACAACCGATCCTCCCAGCTCTTGAATTCGACGGCGCTCGTCTGGTCGATTCGGTTTATGGTCCAACGTCAAAACCGACACATTGCCATTGCGATGCACTAAGACAGCGCGAGAGTCTCCTGTATGTGCCACAAACATCTCGTTGCCTTGCGTGAACACCACAACGGCCGTCGTGCCATCTTCTGCGTTTCTGCTATTGGCAATTTGCAGGTACTGTAAAGACAAAGCAGAGATCAAACAGCACTTAGTCCAGCTTGTCAACATGCTTCAACTTGTGGCTACAAAAAAGTGTAAAACCTCTTGATCTGTCCGCAAGAACCCGCTCCTTAGCGCTTCTGCCGGTTCCTTTGTGATCGATGGCTCTCGGATCACGTTCTGACACATGGCCTGTACACAATAGCTGCAACACCACATTAGTCAGCACCACGACCACCAGTCCGTACAGGTGTACGTGTGCCTCTCCCTCTCTCTCTCTCGCTCGTACTCTGCCGCTCCGTCGCCTCCGTGCCCGTCAAAAATGCCGTAGAAACTCTGCTTAGGGTCGCCATTCAAGTCGGCTACTGCCGTGTGGCGGTCTTCCATGTACGGCCGTCTCCCTTGCATCTGCGACACGCCATAGCGGTAATGCACGTGTGGGTTAATGGGCGGACACGTCTCCACCTCGTACGGCGTGATGCCCGCGCGCCAGGACAGGACGACGTAGCGCAGCACCACCACGAGCACGAGCCCAAGCAGCGCCTGGACGAGGAAGCTGCTGCGGAGCGACTGCGCCATGAACTGCACACTCGCGCGGTCCAGCGACGGCGCCATGAGCCGTAGAAAGTCAGCAAAGTGATTCCAGTGAGGAGCTACTGCTGCTGCTGCTGCGTGCGACGTGTTACGACGGGACGACAACTGGTGGGGTAGGGGATACGAGCGGGGCTGTGCGTAACGGGGGTTCGGGCACGAGCATTGACCAATCAAACGATCGCAGGACGGTGGGCGCGACGAATCACAGCAGTTGAGCAGCTCTTGCGGCCAATTCGGTGTGGCGACGCCAAACGGCGTGGCTCCTGACGTTCTTCTATTGGCTAAAACAAAACGCACGGCACCTTCACCCGAGGATGCGGTTGCCGTACGTGAGCACGAGCGCATGTTCCTGACGCGTGAACAAAGAGCCGACCGTGAGCTTTGGTAGGAGCGTCTGGGCACGATCGTTCAGCTGGAACGACGTCAGGCGGCATCGCTCCGTGTCCACCGTGCACAGAACGGCGGGATGCGTCATCCGGAGGAGGAAGCGCTGGGCATAGAGGCTGAAGCCCGACGCCGAGGCAAAGAGACCCACTGTTGCCGGTGGGAAGCAGCTTTTGAGCACGCCGTGGAACTCTCGCACGTACTGGACACCCACTGGTTTGCCCCCGTTCTTGCACTGTGTCACTACATCGACGGTCATGTCCGGCAGCGTCCACAGTCCCTGTGGTGTACGCAGTGGTCACAACACTGTTAGCAAGTGCACTGACGCTAAACTACGTCCTGTTTGATCATTCTATTCGGTAATTCAGTACTATTCGTGCAACCTGATGATCGATGCCACCGTCTTGCGACTGCTGCGTGGGCTGCAGCTCGCAGTTGAGCGTCTGCATAATGTCCGCGACCTGTATCTCAAACGCCAGACCTTTGTCACGGCCAGTCGATCGAACAGGGACAGTAGAGGCTGTTGATGCTGTCGCACTTGACAGGTTGCGCCGCAAGCCGACGCCGCAGCGTCGCCCCATCAACGTCGCGTTCATTCGAATGCGTAGTATTGCTCTTGTTTCGGTGCGCACTGACAACCGTGATCTCACTTGAGTGACACGTCAAATAGTGACATGGGCCTGCCGTGCGGACAAGAGTGATGGTCACTGCAACTTTCCTTCCGCCCTGCCGCCTGTCCTGCACCGGCAATGGCGAGCGGTCCGTCGTCGCTGTGGCTCGAGCGCTTCTACGCGACGTTTCCGACACTGCGCGAGCAGCAGCTGGAGATTTGCCGCCTGTACGAAGCGACGCTCGACGCGCAGCAGACGCCGCGCTCGAGTGCGTTCGCACGCGAAGAAGAGCAAAAGCGACACGTCCATGAGCTGCAACGAGAGCTGCAGGAACAGGACGTGCAGATGCTCGAAGCGGCTGAGACGATTGAGATGCTCATGAGGGACGTGCAAGTGGCGCGGGAGGTCGCGAGGCGCGCGGAGAAGGCGCAGCGGGAAGCAGAAGCGGATCAGATGCTTCGGCACGTGCTCCAAGAGAGTGACGGCGAAGGAAGTGACGCAGTTGCTGGACAGGCAACGGATCTTGAGACAGAGAGTGCAGTGGACACGGAGCAACGGAGCGCGGGCAGAGATAAGGAGCTGGAGCACGAAGGAAGAGCGGTCACGGAGGCTCGAGAGAGGCTTTCGACACTGACGTCGTCGCAAGCGGTACAAGAGACTGAGCAGCCGGTTGGGATTCATGTGCAGCGCGGGGCCGAGTCAGTGGAGCAACGAACAGCAGGAGAGATGCAGCAGTACAGAGCGATGGACGGTGTGCGTCAAGAACTTGTTGCAGTGTTGCAGGCTCAAGTGCAGGCCCTTCGGTTGGACAAGACGAGCTTGGACAGTGCAATGGTTGTATGCCAGCGGTCGATCGACAAGCGCATTCAAGTGCTGGAGCACGACCGGCAGCAGATTGAAGCAGAGAACTGCCGCCTTCGTGCGGAGTTAGCTCGTGTGTTGCAAAGCCTGAACTCTTTGGACGTGAAGCTACGTGCACTACAAGCGGAAGACGATCGAGAGACGGCAACGGTACAGGAAAAGATAGAAGCACGGCTTGCACGAGCGTGGGCGCATCAAGACCAGCTTGCTCGTCGCGTGACGAATGCGGAGCAGAAGATGGCACTGATGGCATCGACGGCCGAAGTGACGGGTAGTAGGCAGCTCGAGGAAGGACAGAGTCAAGTTGTGGACGAGAAGCAGACGCTTCTCGTGCAATTAGACGAAGAGCGTCGGCAATCGGAAGGATTGAGACGTTCGATGAGCATACTACAAGAGTCGATGGAGTCGGCACTGAAGGAGTTACGTGACGTGGAGATTGAGCTTCGCGCGATCAACAGTGATCTCGCTTGTGGTGACGCACAGCACGACACATTGGCCGGGCTTGCGAAACAGGTGATTTCGGATTATACGAGGTACGCATAGTCTCGGCATTCTGCTGTGCTGTGGTTGGAATGTCTCACGTTCCTTTAGGTTCAAGCAGAATGGTGTCTGCGTCGAGGCCTTCGTGGCGTCCATGCAGGTCGAGCACCTGACGTCTTTGATGCATGCGCATCTCAGTCGCCTTCGTGCACTGCGTAGTCCACAAGAAATCTACTCTACTTCGACAAGCATTCGGTACGCTATAGGATTACTTAACATGCTCAGGGGTGGTAACGTAATTACTCTTCTGTGATCAGATACTTGCCGCGCAGTGACAGCGACGAGTCGGCGGACGATGGATGGGACACTCTCGACAACCACGAGGCTATTGCTGGTGTTGACTTGCTTCGCCGTGAAACAGTCCAAGGCGACTGACTATAAAAGTCCGCAATAACTATCGACTAAGTGCCGCTGTTCCTGAAGGTAACGGTTCATTCTATCCTGTGATCATTCTGTTGTGATGTCAAATTTGTAGTCTTGTCAAGCTGTCTACTTAAATGCAACGAGAATCTGTTAACTCGTCGCATGATGCTACGTACTGTGACGTCTCGTCAGCAAAAGGTTTTGCCTGCAAGCTCTCGTTTTTTGAATGTCATACACTAACAATGTGATGTAAATGACCGATGGACCGACAGTGTCAACACTGCGCATGTTGATCACAGCAAGTATAGCTTGACAGTACGATTGCAAGTTGTCAACGGCAGAGGCCATATTGACCATGCAAAGTCACGAAATTTTTCTGATCGTGCAAAGCAAGAGCAACGTAGGGTAAAGGGGTCATCAATCGGCCTCATAATCGACCAAAGGAAGAACGGGACTCAAAAACTCTGTTCACACCAGATCAACTACTCGATTTATCGGTAACGTTTCGGAAAAGGACGCTCGCTATAGGACTGAGCAAGATCTGACCGGACGACACCACCCACTAGAAGTCATGCAGTGTGAAAAGCAAATATAGTGCTAAAGTGACACATTGCAATCGGCCAGACGTACGTATGGCCCTCCATCTTAGCATTATATCTACATGCACGGTCACGCGTGTCTGGTCATACTTGAGCTCTTATTGCGGCTTGCATCAGACGCAAATGCACATCGAGTCGCTGTTGTTAAGGATCGGCTTCAAAGCACAAAGACAGATGAACCTATGCAATCAAGACATGTGGCCTATCTAGGCAGGCTCGAGCGGCCAAACGACTTCGACGACAACTAACAGTTTCCTGTCTTGATCGGGCAATGAGTTCCAGCTGTACTTTCCTCGTAGGTACGGTGCAATGTATCGATCGGCAGTGTTACAAAGTTTGACATACGCCATACCAGTAGCTTACGACATTACAATTATCTTATGCTCCATTACAGGCCATAAGCTCGATCCGGTTAGACTGTAAACCTCATCAAAGAGACAAAGCGCATGAGCAAGAAGTGCCTATTCATCCTTAGCCGCAATGACCACATGCAGTCCAACAAACGTAGTGATCGAACAGACTCGTCTTTCTGCTCATGCAACGCTACGAGCCCTTATGTGCTCGCAACTCGTTTTGTAACGTGACGTTTTCTACTCGCACGCTCTCCAGATCCGCAAGCACCTTGTCCAAGTGTTTGCTGCTCTCACGGGCCTCCAGCTGAGAGATCCAATTTTGCAGATCGCGAGCCGCGTTCTCTTTTTCGCTAACGTCGCCCACAGCGACAATGAGCTCGTTGAACAACTCGCGCACTTTTGCGAACTTGCGGTAACACTCTATGTATGCGTCAGCCTTCGAGCTCTTGGCGCTTTTGCTTTTGCTGGTTGCGCTGTATATGTTTTCTTCAGCCGCAGCTGCCACTCGCTTTTTCGTCGCTGACGCAGCCTCCACCTGCTGTTGTAGCGTCTTGATATCGGCCAAAACCTTTGCGATATCCTGCTTTTGCTTGTGAACCTGCTTGATGATGTCCATGATGCGTGACGTATAGACGCTCCGCGTCATGGCCCCACCACCGCCGTCTTCCTTTGTGCCGTGCTTCGCCATCTGTCGCTCATGAGCCTTTTCTAATGTTTGGAATGTTTCCGCCTTTGAGTGAATGATGCCATTAAATGTCTGCATGTCAGTTTGGAACGTCTTCATCTCGCGAACAAGTTGTCGGCGTCGAGCCTTTTCGCTCGCGACATGGTCTTTCAACTCGTTGTATTCCTTCAGCAAAGGTTGACGAGCAACTTCCATTTGCTGTGCTGCTTCCTCCTTCTTTTCTGCGTTTCTTTTGCAAATCGACTCGAGCTTCGCTACTTTTGTCGATGCATCTGGAAGCAACGCCAGTAGCTGCTTTTTTCGTGCAAGTTTTCTCTGCATCTCCTGCCCCCTAGTTTTCGTCTCAAGAATGTGCTGCTCGATCTGGTGCAGCTCATCGCGTTTACGACGCAACACTTTCTGCATTGCAGCAAGGCGGTGCTTCGTGTCATTGACGAGTTTTTCGGTATCTCCAAGAAGCTGCTCTTCGTTGTTTTCCACCGGATCGGCAGAAGTCCCTTGTCGCCCTTGACTCGTGTCAACGCTATTCAGCTCCCCTGATTCGAACGCGCTGCTCACTCTGGTACATACACCATCAGGTTCCGGTGCTGAAACGTTGAAGGAGATCGGCACGTCCGGAAGCTCAATGCCAATGATTGTTTGCGGTGGAGTTAAACCATCTCCGCCGCTCCTTACACTAGTCTCTTGCCAGGCAAGACAACCGCTATCCCCCGCACTTCTCTGAGCAGCTCCAGCCTGTTCCTGGCTTATCTCAAGATCCATTCTTTCTGTCTCGCCCTCGTCCTCGAGTTCATCGTCCCGAAGACGGATCGTCGTCTTACACTTTTCTACCGCAAGAGCCTCCAAAAGTGACGTCACTTTTACCGAGTCACGCGGAAAACCTTCAAACAACTTCTGTGTCGATTTCGTCGATCGGTTCCACGGCAATTCCAGCGGAGATGTCTGTAAAGGCAGTCGTTGAAACCCTCGCAGTCCCTCCACGTGCTGATGTGGCAGCATATAAAGCGTCTTTTCTCGCTTCCATTTACTGAAAATATCACGTAATGACTCACGTCCGACCACCGACCCTTCTTGCCAGTCTCCCGTCCTTCTTCCCATGCTTTCTGAGGCATGTCCTTGCTTCATATCTTCCTCTTTGACATCCTCGTGCTCGGTCTTCGGTAGCTTGCTCACGATCCACGTTAAAATCTTCCTCGTCTCTTTCGCACTTGGATACAAAAAGTGGTGATAGCTGCAGTCTCCGCCATACCCTAGTTCCTGTACGCACGACAAAATACCAGCAACCACATTATCAAATATCACTGTAATCTCATACACACATACTTGAGCAGCAACAAATTGCATCGATGAAAAACCTTGAGAATATTGGCAATTGTCAGCCCAACGCGATGTTTCGCCGCGACGGCCGTCGGAGCTACTGCATCGATAGACGGAAGCGTGAAACGCGCACCATTGTTAGCTTTCTTTAATTGTGTCAGACACTTGTGCATGAGCGCGAGGAACTCGTCCGACGTGAGATCGGATACCGTCCAGGACGCAGATTCTCGAGCACAGGCTGGTCTACAATAATTGCAATATCACATTACAATGGTGAGAACTACTTGCAATGGGTTGTTGAGGCGATACTCGTGAGGCGGTACTCGAAAACACCCAAAGCGAGCGTAGAAAACAATGTATCGCTGAGTAACGCACACGATGTCACTTTGTTGTAGTGCCGCAACGATTAAGGCGTCGGCTTCGGCCATGTTGATAAAGTGTGTGTGTGTGTGACGTGTGAGAATCACGTACGTCGTCGAGTTTGTGAAACTTGATATAGCTTCTTTGCGTTCACTGCTTTGTACAGATTGACCGACTAAGTTTTCCTGTCTAAGTGCGAGCTGGTCAAAATGATGCGCATGGACGCACTCGATCACGTTGGTACGTGTGCTTATAGTATGTTTTCTAGTGTAATGTCGCCGTTGTTATCGGTGATACTGTGCTCGAGAAAAAAGGCGGATACCGAGAGAATTTAGTCATCTATCAGAACGATCAAGTTATGGCACTCGCGTCATGTCTAAATACGTGTCAATAGTATCTCAACGTGCACTGTGAGGAGCACTACACATCACAGCCTGTACAAACGGTTAGTCAACCATTACATGCAATTGGCTGGTAAATTATGCTCAATATGTTCCTCGCGCGGTGGTCATCACTTGTAACGGGGCAGCCCGTTACATGAAATTGTCACTTTAAGGAAAGTGACAATAAAGAATATAAAGATGGATATTCTTTAAACAATATCACCAAAGTGGTGATATTGAAGGGTCGACCAAAGGGTCTGTTCATTGGTTGATATCGTGATGATATCAACCCACCAATCGCCGCAAGACGCGCGCAATGAGTGGTGACGAGACGTCACCATACATGCAGTTATATAAGCATAATTAAGTGAAGTCAAACGAAGAGACAGTAGTTTAAAGACTTAATTTATTAATATAACAGTTCTACTTTTACCCTACCTACGCTTCCTCGCTCGCCACGTGTACGTCCGTCGGGGCACCCAAATCCCTTGCGTTAAGTTACGCAAGGGTGTGCCCCGTTATCCCTGGTAGCACTTTGTAGTCCTTCCAAGGACCACAACATCCAACATGAACATGTTGGATGAAGAAGACACCTTTCACGCCACGCGTGAAGGGTTTACCCATTTGAGTGACATCGAATAGGGTGAGGTAGAACGAATGAGTTCTACCGTAGGCGAACTCGTCGTCAGCACCATGTTGGAGTCTCTAGACAGAGACCAACAACATGCCGCTATCGCCAAGTTCATTCAAAATGAACTTGCTCTCGAGAGGGAGAAAGTAGCCTTGCTTCACCAGCAAGGCTCTCAACAGGCCGAGCAGTTGAGAGAACTCGGTGCTCAACAGACGGAGCTGTTGAGACAGCAGCAATTCCATGCTGCTGTGGGCGTGACGGCGCATGCGCGTCGTCCCGAAGTGATGAAAGTCGACATCTCCAAGTACAGTGGAGTCCCGGAGGACTCCCTGTTACTATGGTTTGTCGAACTCGACAGAGCCTAAGGGCTCGTCGCGTCGAAGATGAGCAAATGAAACTCACATTTGCTCAGACCCACTTGGCAGGGCGTGCCAAAACTTGAGTCCTGGGACTCGAGAGTAGCGACCCAAACGTGTTTAGGTCGCTAGATGACTTCAAGTCCCGGCTCAGACAAACGTTTGAGCCGCCACGTGCTGAGTTCAGGGCTCGTTCAGAGCTCCTGAAACTCAAGCAGGGTAAGCGTGATGTGCACGCTTACGCACAACATATACGACTCCTTGCGAGTAGTATAACTGCAAACCCAGTTCATGAACACACGTTGATTACGGTGTTCATGCAAGGGCTCGCAGAAGGGCCCGTCAGGAGTCACCTGTTCCGCCTTGAGCTGAATACGCTTGAAGAAGCGATATCAGCCGCGGAACAGGAAGACTTTAGTATGCGACAGGCTCATGCTAGCTCAAACTCTTACCGTCCACCGAGACGACAAGAGATCGGAGGTCTAGAACCAATGGACCTCTGCTATGTTGAGAGCGAGAGACCTCGCTCTACAAGCAACAAGCGATTGCAGAGGTACAATCGCTGTCAGAAGTTAGGGCACTACGCATACGAGTGTAGTGCTCCACGCCCAGTACCAAACAGTACTGAGCGAAATGGACGACCTTTTGCCAGAAAGGGCAATGGGCGTGGGTCCAGCGCTGTTGCGAAGCCGCAACAGCGAGACGGACCATCAAAAAATGGTCGGGGTCAGTAGGGGCGGAGCGCCCTACTGATCCAGCAACCTCAAGAGAATTTGCGAATCTCTTGACGAAAGTTGCTCCAGATACACAATCATTGTGTGTCTCTGCACCTGGTGATGACGTTTCGCTCATCACCTTGAAGTTGGAAGCGACAAATGATTTGTCGCTTCGTGCCCTAGTAGACTGTGGGGCGTCGAACAACTTTGTTCGACGCCAGTCACTAGAGGGTCGTAGGCTCAAGTTCGTTGAGCGCGACATTCCCCTCACAAGGATGACGGTGCGCCTTGCAACAGGCGCATCGATAACCGTTGAGAAACGTGTAGTAGGAATCCACTACACGTTAGAGGGCGAGCAGTACGATGATGATTTCATCGTACTAGATCTGGATGACAAATTCGATGTCATCCTGGGATTACCTTGGCTCAGAAAATACGAGCCAAGGGTGAGCTGGCAGCATCGATCCGTGAAGATGCCTGCTGCTTGTTCATCAGATGGCCATCTGATGAACATCTTGGAGCGTCCACAAGCGTGTGGATGTTCTGCGAGTGAGTGCGATGGCCTCACTTGCGGTACGGTCGTTAGCACGACTGCACAAGATCACAGTGTAGTTGATCACTACACTGTGGAGCAAGCTCCCGGCGGCTGTACAGATGTACAGGCTGCGCCGAAGGTCCACCACTCGAATAAGTCGAGTGGACCGGGACATGGATGCATGCCTAGCGGGCAGCATCTTAGAAGAAAGAAATCTGTTGCCCCCAAGGGGCAACATGAAAATCCTAGGTCGACTGGAGAGTCGACCGTAGAGGATCGGTTCCTGACTGTGGTTGCACAGCCACAGTCGGAAGACGTCGAGGGAATAAGTCCCCACGTACTTGAGGAAGGAATTCCTCAAGAGTCGCTTGCTGAGGGATTAGGCCCTCAGCAACCTGTGGAAGCAAGTTCCCAGGAAGAAACCGAGACGTTGAACGTCTTGGTTAATGACGGATCAAGCGTAGGCGCTTATACGCTTGATCTGATTGTGCCTCCGAAGTTGACTTCGGAGATAACTCAGTTGCCAACGCTAGAACCGAAACGGTTCTTGCGTGATCTGCGTAGTGGCAAAGTCAAGCAGATCTGCATACTCGTCACAGAGGACGAGTATGTGACCGACATTCGGTCGGCAACAGTATTTGCTGAGAACGAACGGGTTCTCAGCAGCTCATCGATGGACGAAAGTGTCCTCGATGAGAAGACTCGGATTGAGCGATACGCGTCCCAATCCTGGGAGTCACTTCAGGCAAATCCTTTGTATAAGGATTTGATCGAATTCAGGGATGTGTTCCCTGAATCCGTACCTTGCGAGTTGCCTAAGGACAAAGGCACTCGACACGAGATCGAGCTCAAACCGGGCTCGAAATACTGTGTCATGAAGCAGTGGCCACTGCCTCGTGAACAAGTGATAGCGATCGACAAGTTCTTTGCCGATCGCTTAGCAGCGGGCCATGTGAGGGAATCAACATCCCCTCACAGCTCTCCGACCTTCTGTGTGCGAAAGGCCACAGGAGGGTGGCGGATAGTGCACGCATTCAACAAGTTGAATGCTGCAACGGTACCGGCTCAGACGCCGATACCGAGGAAGGACGTCATCATAGATGGTATGTCAAAGAGTACCATCTTTTCGTCCATGGATCTGATGGATGGATTCTATCAGATCCTGATGCGTGAACGGGACGTCCCGTTCACGGCAGTGAGTACCCCCAGCGGGATGCTGTGGGAGTGGCTAGTGATGCCACAGGGGCTGAGTAATGCCCCTGCAACATTCAACAGATGTGTAACAAATCTGTTGAGACCGGTGCGAGACTTCGCACCGAGTTACTTCGACGATGTGTTCGTCCATAGCCGGGCTATGGACGGAAAGACGGACGTTGAAGTTCACAGAACTCACGTTCGTCAGGTTCTTCAACTTATGCGCAAGCATAAGTTGTACGCCAACCTCAAGAAGTGTATATTCGCGGCTAGCGAAATACCACTTCTTGGGTGCATCGTGGGGAAACACGGCGTACGCCCTGATCCCGAAAAGATCAAGGCGATCACCGACTGGCCAGTGCCAGTCGATGTCAAGGGACTAAGGAAGTTGTTTGGACTAGCGGCGTACTTGCACAAGTACTCGCGCAACTACGCCGAGATGACTGTTAATCTTTCTTGCTTGCTCAGGAAAAATGTCAAGTGGTCATGGAACGCTGAGTGCCAGCGTTCCTTTGAAGGTATCAAGCAAAGCTTGATGCAATCGCCGATCTTGGCGATTGCAGATCAGGACAGACCATTTCATGTGGTCTGTGACGCCAGCGATTTCGCAATCGGCTGTGCGTTAATGCAGTTCGATGCAGATGGCGCGGAGCGCGTCATCTGTTATCAGTCGCTTCAGCTGCAAGCAGCTGAGCGTAATTACCCAGTACATGACAAGGAACTCCTTGCCACGAAATACGCACTGGCTAAGTTTCGCGTCTATCTCTTGGGAGATAGACCGTTTGTTGTCTACACGGACCATGCGTCATTACGCACGGCCGTAAACAGCCCACACCTCTCGCAAAGAATGGCGAGGTGGCTGTCTTTCTTCGCGGAGTATAATTTCTCCGTGGAGTATAAACCGGGACGACTCAATGTCGTCGCGGATGCTCTTTCGCGCCGGCCCGATTTCGAGCCGGACGCACAATCCAACAGTGAGGATAAGCCCACTGTTGCGACACTGTCAGTCAGTGTCCCGTCGTCGAGTTTACTTGACGACGTACGAAAGGCATAAGCGGAAGATAAGGATCTTCTGCGATTGATGGATCATCTGGTAAATCCATCCAGTAAATCCATGAGGGATTTACCGGCTTTGTACCGATCCTCATCGGATCGGTATAGTACACGCAACGGATTGCTGTACTATACAGCTGTTGCCGACGACACGCCTCGTGTCGTCGTACCCGCTCATCATGATTTGCGGTTGCGCATCA